CAATAGCCAAACTATGGAAAGAGCCAAGATGTCCATCAACGGATGAATGGATAAAGAAGATGTGGTATATATATAATGGAATATTATGCAGCCATCAAAAACCCCGAAATCTTGCCATTTGCAGCAACGTGGATGGATCTAGAGGGTATTATGCTAAGTGAAATAAGTCAATCAGAGAAAGACAAGTATCATATGATCTCACTGATATGAGGAATTCTTTAATCTCAGGAAACAAACTGAGGGTTGCTGGAGTGGTGGGGGCTGGGAGGGATGGGGTGCCTGGGTGATGGATATTGGGGAGGGTATGTGCTATGATGAGCGCTGTGAATTATGTAAGACTGATGAATCACAGACCTGTACCTCTGAAAAAAAATAGTAGGAAGGGAAAAATGAAGGGGGGGAATCGGAGGGGGAGATGAACCATGAGAGACTATGGACTCTGAGAAACAAACTGAGGGTTTTAGAGGGGAGGGGGTAGGGGGATGGGTTAGCCCGGTGATGGGTATTAAGGAAGGCACGTACTGCATGGAGAACTGGGTGTTATATGCAAACAATGAATCATGGAGCACTACATTAAAAACTAATGATGTAATGTATGGTGACTAACATAACAAAATAAAACACACACACACACAAAGTCAAGTATAGCTGGTTCTTCCATGCAGAGGAGACTTGTGTTGGAAGGAGAGGCAGCTAGCCCCAACCTCGGGTCTGCAGCTTTTGTGATCTGTCATTTCCCTCCCACTTTCTCACCATTGCCCATGGTTACTGACACTGAAGGGGTAGTTCAGATCTACCCCTTGAATCAAATCTGGGTCCAAATCATGTCTCTTGCCATCTTTTTCAGGTAGGTGACTCTGGGGAAATTGTCTCTCTGAGCCTCGTTCTATTTCATCAGCCTTGAAACTTTCATCATTTACCTGCTCTTCAGTCTGGTTGATGACTGCAATTGCCAGGCTAGCAAATAAAAATACAGGACATTCAGTTCAATCTGAATTTCAGATACACAATAAACTAATTTTACTATAAATGATATCCAGTTAAATTTGATAGTTTTATAATATGTCCCAAATACTGCATGGGACATACTTACATGAAAAAGAAAAGTTTGTTGTTCATCTAAAATTCAAATTTAATGGGGGGTCCTGTATCTTATGTGGCAACCCTATTCATGACATTGAAATGTGTGAGAGTATTTAGCATGAAGAAGGTACTGAACTGGCCATCTTTGTATTCCCAAAGAGCTCTGTACATACTTAAATGCCAGGTCCTCAAGGAGAGTGAAAGAGAAAGGAAGAAGTAAAGGGGGGAAAAGGCAGACCAGAAACAAACTTTAGAGGATGTAATATGTGATCTGGCTTTGAAGTACAAGTAGGAGTTCATCTGGCTTAGAATCCAGCAGAGAGTGTAAGGCACCGGGGTGGTCAATGAGTGAAAGCAGATAAGGACCATTATGAAGCCTGAATATTATCTTGGGATCACTGGAGAACCACTCATCTTCTTTTCCAGGAGAGCGATTTGATCAGATGTGGGTTTTAGACAGATTGGTCTGGCAATGGTGGAGATGGTTGGACAGAGGTTGTAGGTGGGGGGAAGGAGGTGGATGGGGTGTATAACAGGTGAGGAGCTTGGACCAAGTTCATGGCAGTGAATGGAGAGGAATGGATGGATTCAAGAGACATTGCAGATGTTGAATGACAGGAATTTGCAAGAGGTTGTGAAGATGGAGAGGGGACACACAAGTCCACCAAAACGGTGCTTAAGTGAAAATTTGAGAGGGAGAGGAATTACACAGGAGAAAGTGGCATCATGGAAGTCAAGGTGGGAAGACTGAAGGGAAGATGGTGAACAGTGTTGTCACTGGTGTCTGACCCCCTGAACTCAGGAAATTTCTAGTAGAACCTTCTGTCTGTCAATCTTACTTTTTAGGAACAGAACTCCTAGGACCTTCTGCCTCACTGTCCATCTTACCTTAAGAAACTGACAAACTGCAGGAAAAGAGAAAGAAACATTTGAAGAAGACACATGCACAAATGAATCAGAATGTGTCTCAGCCTCACGATAATGTTAAAATTCCCCTCTGAATATTCATCCCAAACCCTAATAAAATGGAAGTGAGCCTCCTTAAAGCTGAGGTGAGACATTGTGCTCTGCTTTCCCTTGCTCAGGGAGGCACAGATTTGGAAATGATTACTCATGATCCCCTTATTTGTACAAACAAAGATGACCTTGTGTGTGACAACTCTGTGTGGTGTAGTCTCGTGGTGTAGTCTCTGTCTATAATGCACCAAGAAGGGGACCTACTTTGGCCCGCCAGCTGTGTCTCCTTCAAAGATGAAGGAAGATGAAGATAGGGAAAGGAAAGAGGCCACCAAATTCCACAGACCTGGGCACTTATGATGGAGGTCCCAGCGAGGCACTGATATGGATAGTTGTGGAAATACTGTGGAGTACATGGGAGATGAGCAGGAGAGAAATGAAGGTGGTCTACGCTTTCAAGACATTTACAGGTGAAAAGAGAAATCAATTTAGGGGGATGCATGATCCATGGAGAATGTTTGGTTTGTGTTTTAGTATGTGCAGGAAAGGAGCGATTTGTATAAATGAGGCAAAGAATCCAGAGATTAAAGATAAAGGAGAACGAGCAGATAAGCTATGAGTAAGCTCTCTGAGCCGAAGGGCGATGGTAACACAGGTGAAAACTGGTGAAGGACATTGCTTTCCTCTGCAGTAAAAAGGAAGAATGTAGAAGTGGTAAACACGTGGGTGAGTCCCGAGGGACAGAGAATGGAAGTTGAGGGAATTCAAGACTAGATGATATCCATTTTCCCTGGGAATTATAGATAAACTGAGGGAAGTGGGAGAAGTCAGCAGGCTTTAAGTCCTGTCAAGCCAATAGAAAAATTAGTGGAACAGAGGGAGCGGGAGCGGTATCAGCATTAGCATAGGAAGCTGTGGCAGAAAAGGAAATTTACAACAAAGATGTGTTTTACTTATCATAATATATATATCATATAAAATTTACCTTCTTGACTTAAAAATTTTAAAGGAATATTTCAGGGTGGTAAATAGTATGTGGGTTCCTGAAATGGAAGTGAACATCCTTAAAGCTGAGGTGAGGAATTGTGAAACTCAATGAGAGAGAGAATTTTTGAAGGAAGGTTGTAGAGCAATGAATTGAAAGAGGCACAAGGCAGAGCCAAGATTATACTAACTCTTTTTCCTAGTCTAGAGATGAGGGTGTGGGGGTGAGCAGACTCCACCTGATACTCAGCAGGCAAATCTTTGTCAAGGGACAAACTTTAGGTCTTCAGTTACAATGAAGAGATGGCAGCATTTTAGGAGACAGCTAAATTTCTAGAGAGATCTCTTGGAAATTAATCTGTGGCTTGAGAACATAAGAGGAAGATTTCAAGAGAGAATCAGTGGGAGGAGGCAAGGAAATGTGTAGAACTCAGGTGGGTAGTCACTAGCCTATGTGAGAAATTAACAAGATAGCCAGTGTTCTGGGCTATAACTTCGGTCGAGAGATGGGGATGGCAGTTTGAGAGCTTGACTTGAATGGACCCAACTAGGCTCAGGGTCCATCTGGTATCAAGCTGCTCTTGTCTCTGCAAACTGTCTTACATCTTGACACAGCTGCAAGCCCTTTGGGAGCCAGGGACATAATATGTAGAGATCATGCCATAGATTTTTTGTTCTTTGGTGGCCTTGTCATTTTATTGAGACTTTGGTAGTTTTCATGTGATATATTTAAACTTATTGGAAATTAACTCTACCCCAACCAACTTCCTGGTTTTCAGGAGAAGAGGTGGGATTAAGATAGTCATGGACACTAAGAAAATAATTTTTTCCACTGGTGGTTTTTTGTTTGTTTGTTTGTTTGTTTTACTTTCCCGCCTGGATATAAAAGAAACACTCCTAACAGAAAGTCTAAAATCGTTTTTTTTATATCTCTAAAAAAGCCTTTATTTCACCTCATTTTTGAAAGATTTTCATTAGACAGAGATCTAGGTTGACAGTTTCTTTCAGAAGAGATGTTGCTGTACCATAGTCTTGTTTGCATAATTTCTGACAAGAAATATACTGTCATCCTTCTTTTTGTCCTTCCTGTGGAATGGCTTTTTTCCCCCCCCTTCAGCCACCTTTCAGATTTTCTCTTTATCACAGATTTTGAATAGTTTGAATATGATGTGCCTTGGTGTAATCCTCATGCTGGGGTTCATTGAGATTCTGAATCTGTTTACAACTTTCATCATATTTGGAAAAGTTTCAGCCATTATTTATTAGATTATTTTTTTCCATCAGGCCTTCTTTCTCTTCTCCTTTAGGGACTCCAATTTCATGTATATTAGGTCAACTGAAGTTATCCCACAACTCAAAGATGTTCTGTTCATTTTTAAATTATTTTCCTTTCTTTGTGTGTTTCATTTTGAATCATTTATACTTGTATGTCTTAGAGTTCACTGATGTTTCCTTCTGCAAAGTTTAATCTGACATTAATCCCATCCCATCTATTTTTCATCTCAGGCATTATAGTCTTCATCTTTAGAAGTTCAGTGTGTTCGTACTTAACTTTTGTACATATGGAATACAGTTATAACTATTATTTAAAAAACTATTTTAATGCACTTATCTGCTGATTCTAACCTCTGTATCAGTCTGGAGTCAGTTTAAATGATTTATCTTCTCATTATGGGTCTTATTTTCCTGCTTCTTTGCATGCCTGGAAATTTTTCATTGGATGCTGAATACGTTTATAAATATTCTTGAGTTTGCTCAGGAATGAAGTTACATTACTTGAAAACTTGGAAGTTTGATCCTTTTGGGTCTAGCTTTTAAGATTTGTTAGGCTGGCCAGAGCAACACTCAGTTTAGGTCTAATTATTCCTCGCTACTGGAACAAGATTGTTCGTGTACTCCACCTACTGTCCCGTGAATCTCGAGGATTTCCAGTCTGGTTTGTGGGAAGAGGGAGTGTTCCTGGCCCCGCTCGTCCGGGGACCCGGTCCTGCTACTGGAGCGCAAGGCGAGGGCTGAGCCGACGCGGCGTCGGGGCGGGCCGCCGGCAGCAGCCTGGGGCGCCGAGAGCCACCACCTCTTCTCCGCCAAGCGGCGCGGGCGTGGGCCGAAGGAGCTGAAGAAGGAGCCTGGGGAGGGGGAGAAGAGGAGCAGCATCTCCTCCTCCTCCACGCCTCGGAAACGCCCCTCCAGCCGCGACCCGGCTGACCGCCTGACCCTCGAGGAGCACCCTCTGCGCCCTCCGGTGCTCCACGCGCGTGCCAGAGCTTCGCCAAAACCCTCTGGCGAGGGGCGGCTCAACTCCTGCAGCCGCCTCCGAGTGCTGCTGAGGGGGCTGAGGCGGACCAGGGAGCTAGGGAGTGCCGCGCCAGAAAGTCTAAAAATTTTAAAGAAATCATGCAAACAAAGAAATAAACAAACCTTCCTAAGTCTACCATTCAAGATTAACCACCTCCAACATTTTGGCATATTTCCATCCCATGATTTCTTTGCCTTTTCCGTCCTTTATGTAATTAGAATCATAATACAGATATATTCTCGGCTTTTATCACGGTGTTTTATAGTAATCTAGTAGGATGTTTTAAAAGGCTTATTTGATAAGTTGGATCTATTTTTCTAGGTTTGTTCTAGAGTTCATTCTGGGTTGCATCGAGAGTCTGAACCTGGTGGAGAACGCCCTCTTGAATCTTCTTCCAAATGCCTTATAGCTTGAAATGCCTTATTTCCTAAAATAGAACTTTAGGGAAGAACTCCATGCTATGAGACATCTCATTCATAAGCTTCTTATTCTGGAGTGTACAAACATTGATTGTGGATGACAGTGGTATTTACACTGTACTGATGCATTCCTTAATTGTGTAAACTTCTAAGATTTTTAAATTAAATTTATAGAATTAGATGAGAAAAATATGTGCATAGAAAACCACCTTTTTTGGCAGAGAGGTTAAGTTTAAGCAATACATATTTAGACCTGAAATCCACTGGATTCATTTTGGCAAATTAAAATAAACTTATGATACAGGATTCAAGAGAATTTACTACTTGGAATTCTAAAAATTAAGAAAGTTATAACTTTTACAGGTATGTCAAAGGAAGTATTTGACAAGTTTCCTCATATCTCTGGGCAAAAAATGATAGAAAAATATGTAATCTAATATACTTTTTCATGAAAAATTTTTCATAAAAAACTTTTATTTTGATATGATGAAAGAAAATTTAAGAGGAAATTAAGACAGTTTTGAGGCCAGTTCAAGACCCAGAATTGCTGAGAGGCCTCGGAGCTGCCCCAAGAACCCTTGTCCAGACCTCACCAAAGTAGTTACTGGCAAAAACAGAACCTCCCAAACTCTTCCAGACCTGGGCATGGTTGCTCAACCCACCTCAGACTGCATTTCTCTGGATGAAAAAGAACCATTTGGTTAAAAGGTTTTGGAAAGTGAAAGGCCAACCACGTTAAAGAATTTTGTTATTTGCCTCAGGGGCCCATTATATGGGATATTCTGAGCACAAGATATTAGGCAAGAGAAGTCACATAATGACTTACTAATTAAAAAAGGTATTGAATGTGGGGCGCCTGGGTGGTTCAGTTGTTAAGCGACTGCCTTTGGCTCAGGTCATGATCCCAAGGTCCTGGGATCGAGCCCTCCATCAGGCTTCCTGCTCAGAGGGAAGCCTGCTTCTCCCTCTCCCACTCCGCCTGCTTGTGTTCCCTTTCTCGATGTCTCTCTCTCTCTGTCAAATAAATAAATAAAATCTTTAAAAAAAATAAAAAAGGTATTGAATGAATCTTGCTCATTGGTAGAGATTTCAAAGAACAATTCCATTTAAGGAATTGGGAATAATACATTTATCATGCTACATTTTTCAAGGATTACTTTAATCCATCAGACTGAAATTATGAATTCCAACTCAAAGACTACCTCCCCAATTAAAATGAAGATTTTAAAATTAAAACTTTTATTTTGAGATATGTAGATTTATATCCACTAGGAAGAAATAATACAGAATGATCCAGTGTCTACTTGCCCAGTTTTCCCTAATGGTAATAACTTAGAAAAAATTATTGTATGATATTACAAACAGGATTTTCACATAAACGTAGTCAAGATAAAGCACTTTGTTGAATAAGAATGTTAAGGATGAACATCTTTAGGGGTGCCTGGGTGTCATAGTCAATTGGGCGTCTGGCTCTTGGTTTTAGCTCAGGTTGTGATCCTAGGGTCCTGAAATCAAGCCCTGCATTGGGCTCCACGCTTAGTGTGGAGTCTGACTGAGATTCTGTCTCCTTCTCCCTCTGCACCTCCTGCTTTCTCTCTCTCTGTCTAAAATGAATAAACATCTCTGCCCTATTTTCTATCTGTGGGGAACATCATTTGGTTTTTCACCATCAAGTATGATGTTAACTGTAGTTTTTGTAGATGTTCTTTGCCAGGCTGAGAAATTTACCCTCCAAACTTAGTTTTCTAAGAGGTTTTGTTTTGTTTTGCTTTGTTTTTAAATAATAGATGGCAATTGAATTTTCTCAAGTGCTTCTTTGGCACTGATTGATATGATCATGTGATTTTTCTTCTTTAGCCTGTTAAGATAGTGGATTACATTGATTGATTTTCTGATAGGATCAGCCTTGTGTTCCTGGAATATACTCCACTTGGTCATGGTATATAATTCTTTTTATATATATATTTTTTGAATTCTACTTGTTAATATTTTGTTAAGGATTTGGGGTCTTTAAAATGGCAACTCAGATAACAATATTCATGTCTGTTCAAGAAAAGTTTGTAAATTTGCCAATGAGATTTTGGTAAGATAAGCTTATGAAGGTAAGATTGCCATTTTAAAATGGTCCCTAATTATTTTCTTTATTGAAATACCTGTTTTTATTTAAAATAGCCCTATAAATTTATTCACATCTTATTCTCTAATAAAAATATTTGCCTATACATTTGTTTACTCTCCCAATATGTGGGTCAGTGTGATAATAAGATTCCTCATGCTGTTTCTTGACCTATCCCTTTTTTCCTGTTACTCAATACATTATTTTTAATATTCCATGCATTTTTCTTTCAGTGACATTTAAGGCGAGTGCTGCTGGTATTCTCATCCACTCATTCTCAATTTTCTCATCTCTTTCTTTCATATTACTATTTCCTTTTCAATCACATTCCTTTCTTCCTCTTTTATGTTCCCCCCCATCTCTGACTTTAGGTGATATCAACAGGCTTAGGACATTATTTAGCCCCACTGACATTTGAAGATGAAGTTGTTGGTGATTATCATGCCATCAGAAATCACTAATATTTAATATATTTGCAAAATCAGGGTCAATAATTATGTAAAAGTAAAAATAGATTATTTTGAATAACTCACTATCTCTCCCTAGTTTCTCAGACTTCACAAGTTTAAATGAGGAAAGCCTGAGAGGGGAATTGTATTGTTTATCTCTGTCGATAATATTAATAGAAAAAGCTAGGGGTAGATAGTGGGTTATTCAAAATAATCTATTTCTACCCTCACCTAATTATTGACCCCGATTTTGCAAAGTCTGTTGAAGCTAACAAGCTAAGGGAAGTATAGAATGAGAGTTTGCTCTCACATAATTCACCAGGCTAATGGTGATGGTAATTCCTTTATGTTCTGTTCTGTAACCAGACCATATTGGCTGCTCTGGTTAGTAGTTACAGCAACAGTTTTCCCTGTTAGAATAAAAAGTATTTCAAGGCTGTTTTACACAGATTCATTTTAGATTCAATGCTCTTGCTAATCCTTTAAAAGCAACCATTGAGTTGTGATTGTCCTTCGGAAGGTAGGGGTCCATTAGGTTTAGTATTCTGTTTCCATAGAAATAGGATTTCTATATTCTTTCAGAAGCATATTTAGAAAAATGGCCTGTCTGCCTTTATTTTTATTTTGAAGCTTCCTTTTGAAATGAACCTTTATTCCAACATGGATTCTAAGTTCAGGAAAACTATCCACGAATGGCTGGTTGTATTTATTTTTTTCTGGCTTTACTGAGGTATAATTGACAAACAAATTGTATATATTTAGGGTGTACAACATGATTTAATATTCATATACACTGTGAAAGATTACCACAATCAAGTTAATTAGTATATCCATCACTTCACATAATTACCTTTGTGTGTGTGTGTTGAGACACTTAAAATCTGCTGTCTTAGCAAATGTCAAATAAATGATACAGTATTATTAACTATATTCACCATGCCCGTATATGAGATCCTCAAGACTTATTTCTCTTATATCTGCAAGTTTGATTGGTTTTAGAAACCTCCCTTGATGTTTTAGACATTTCTATTAATTAAATAACTATCTCTGGTCTCAAGTGTTCCTTTCATATTCAAAATCTATAAAATTACCATATTATTTTTCTTTAAGAGATATAAGTTGCTTCTTTCCTATTTTATGAACCTCTGTTTATTTACTCTCCTAAAAATTTTCCTCTTCTCAGTGAAAGAGGAATATGCTGTTGAAATTGCATCCTTTTATAAATCAGATTGTTTATAAATGTGGCTTGATCATCAGTCAATTTAAATTTTCATTATTTTTATCCTCTACTTTTAAAACTCAAAACTAAGAATGTTGTAAGGAAAAGAAACCAATTACACAGGTGGTCATATTTAATAATCATTCATTTTTAAAGTTAACAAATGGAGATATAGTTCATATAAAAAATTTATTCTTTTAATTATACAATTCAGTAGTTTAGGAAATATATTCACAAGGTTGTACGACTATTGCCACTATCTAATTCCAGAACATTTTTATGACTCCAAGAAGAAACCCCAAACCCATTAGCAGTCACTCACCATTCTAGCCTCTGGTAATGAAAAATCTACTTTCTGTCCTTATGGATTCACCTATTCTAAAAATGGAATACTTACAGAATTATATAAATAGAATCTTACTTAAGTGACCTTTTGGTTTTTTTCATTTGGTATAATGTTTTTGAGGTTCATCCATGTTCTATCATACATCAGTACTTTGTTCCTTTTTATGGTTGAACATTATTTCATTGCATGGATGTACCACAATTTGTTTTTGTTTTGTTTTAAAGATTTTATTTATTTACTTGAGAGAGAGAGAAGAGAGAGAGCACGAGCAGGGGGGAGTGGCAGAGGGAGAGGGAGAAGCAGATTCCCCGCTGAGCAGGGATCCTCATGTGGGTCTCCATCCCAAGACCCCATGACCATGACCTGAGCTGAAGGCACACACTTAACCAGCTGAGCCACCCAGGTGCCCATATACCACAATTTGTTTACCATTCATCTATTCATAGACATTTGGTTTGTTTCCACATTTTCAGTACAGTGAAAAATGCTGCTGTGAACATGTGAG